CTGGAAAACAATTTACAAACTGCCTCTCCTCTCCCCAGCCTTAATGTAGCTTCAAAATAATCCTCAGGTTTTGGAGAGATGCCCAAAAACAAAGCTTTGAACAATGCAAAGTAACGGGGTGTTTTGAATAACATGAAAAAACCAACAACAGTAAGAGCTAAATTCAAATTCATATATCTTAACTTATTTTGTAAATTATCAGATTTGTGCCTGGTGCTGCCAGTGCCACCACTCCCTGCTTTGACATTCATTAACCGTTACTATCCTGCACCTGTCATCAGGGGAGAAATAACAAGATGGTGGTCAGCACATTGCACACACCAAACTGCCACCAAAAGTGTCTATCAGGACACAAATGTGAAACATAGACACCCAAAATAGTAAAACATGGAAATCACATCCTCTAATTAGCTTAGTGCTAGCTGGTAGAGCTATGCAGCTAACAATAATCCTGAATGGGATCTTCACGAAGTAATGGAACGGTCTGGTCAACTGTTAAAGTGAATGAAATGGTCTTGCGTCGCCTGTCCACACTGCAGTATCTGTTTCCATGGAGTATTTCTTTGTCTGGTGAGGCATTTAGAGTTTTCCTTTAGGGCTTGATTGGGTGGGAGAGCTGTTAAATGGCATGAGGTGAGAGCACAGAGTGATGGCTCAAGTGATAAACACACAGGTAATGAAAGAGAAAGGCTGATGGATTCGACCAGACTGCTGCTAATGAGCTTTGGTGTCACCTGGCTAATGGCTGGAGCTTTAAAAATAGAGAAACAAAAAGAAGAACAGAGACATCATAGAAAAGGGGGCTGTGCTGTGATCAATATACTCAGTCACACACACACACACAAACACACACAGTGTGAGTTAGCAGTCCTAATTGCAGATTGGTGATCTAGTGGAACTGCAGCTTGCAGTGGTTTGGCCCGTGGCTTCCAACACCCCACTAAAAGCCCTCTTTCTTCTCACATTTCATAAAGGAGCCAGTAGCCAAGGTATTGCTTTACTCCTGCCTGCTTGCAAACCACTTTGCTAACAGGACTTCAGGGGACTATTCTGAACAGTAAATTGCAGGGGACCCATTAACTAACACACACACACACTTTTGTTTGACTACAGAAAGCAACAAGTTTCAAAGACTACAGCTGTTTGAAGACACCAGAAGTAGGGCATGGCTCATTCAGATATTTTCCTCTGTGGTCAGAGCAATGACGCTATACTAGCCACAAGAGTCTACTCTGTTATTACAGAGAAAAGGGGAGTTGTCTTTTTCTTTGAGCAACTCAACTTTCAAGAAAACATCCTCATATCCTTGGGTTGGACCTGCCATGTGCGAGCAACAATCGATTGTCAAAAACACACGGCTCTCCGCTCCTTCTCTTGCTCTCCTCCCCTCACAACTTTTCTTTACCCTATGACTCCACTTCTCTTCCAGGCCCGGGGAAAGCCATTTCCTGTTCTCACATGTGAACATACATAAACGTCACCGCCACACAGAGCACACAGCAGGCTTGTTTGTGGGAGACTTCTGGTCCTCACTGGCACTTTCTTGTACAGCTATATCTCAACTTCAGAAGACAATGGGGTTTTTAGAGGGCATCGTTTATCTATTTAAGTGGACGCACAAGGAGGGACAGAGTCATTTTGCCTCCTGGCATATAACACTGTTAGAGTAGAAAACACGGCATGTGATCATGTGAATAGACTCTTTGGTGCTCTGAGTCCCATCTTTTCTCTTTGAGATCTGACTCACTGTCTAGGTCCACTTCCTCTGAAACAAACCACAAAGGCTCACTGTAAGGAACTGACACCATATTAGGAACTGAGCTCTATGCAGTCAACATTAGTGGATGTCAGATAGACTCAGTAAAGACATGAAACAAGCAGTATTTCCACAGCGCCCTGAAAATCCTCCAGACTGATGCCGTTTATCCTGTGCATACACAAATCCCAAGGTGCCGCTTTGTTGCTGTTTGTTTACTGGCACCCTGCTTGAATGCAGAGGATGTTTTGTTTGGCATGTGGATACTTTTGGAAGAATGTCCTGAATCATAAACACAAATATAATCATAAACAGTAATCACAAACACAAATTTTAGGGAGTCATTTACAGTTGCTCAGCAGATAGATACCTTGCTGGTAATCTTGTTTGCAATGAACAGCCGAGATAAAAAAAGACACGGACTTGGACTGTGATGGCTCTAAAAATACCTCGCCCCCAAAAGGCTTTGTGACCACTTCCTAACAGAGCATATTAACAGATACAAGAAATTGTTGTCCTGACCTTTCCACAGAGAACATGAAGCCACCAATGTGAAAACTTAAAGCTTTTCCTTTCTTTGTTAAAAGGAACTTTACTGTTTATCGTCTTGTCTCTACATTGTATTTCCCATCACTTAAAGGCCAAATTCCCTAAAAAAGCAATATCCACAGGTGGCACATAAACCCCCATAGACCAAAAATTAAGGCTTGTCGCTTATCTGTGATGTTCTCTGGTGTGTCTAGTATGCAAATGCTGTACAGTACATTTTTTAGTATCCATTTCTATTCATACTGCACACCACTATTTGTATGAGTCTGGAACAAGCCTGTCAGCAGTGATGAAATTTCATATTCATGAAAATTTCGAGAGCAATCTCCATCCCTGGAACGCGTCAATGGATTACCTCTGTGAATTATGTATGGTGAGCAGGAGAGAGAGGGAGGCCAGTGAATAGAAGAACTAATAAGATAATGACTTTAAAGCTTTAAAATTAGCGCCTCCCCTTTATGGCTATATGTATAATTATAGATTTAATTTCATACTTTCATGCTGTAAATGCTGCAGTTCATGTCTTGGTCGTCAGTTGTAGATCTCATGCCGTATTGATGGTCTGTTGATGCTTCTAAGTGTCTGCCAAATGAGTAAATGTAAATGGCTGTTTTAGTGTTGTAATTTCTGTTAGGTCTTCTTATGTTTACATACACCCAGTGTGTGCTGTTATGGTCTTACATTGTCTATTTTTATGTTAATTTCTCTTGGCTGTGTCCTCTGTTTTCTACTGCAATGAAGTGAACCTATTTCTCAATACACACTAAACTGTCATCCTCATGAAAAATCATCAGAACAAACTATTACAATGGAGCAATCCAAGTTGCCTAGAAACCTGTGCATGAGCCACTCACTATTCATTTAATGCAAGAGATCAAATATCGTGTGCTACACGCCATTTTTGAAGAGCCTGAACTCTTGAACTGTGACTCAGCATCGATACTGCCCACTATAAGGAAGTAAAAATCATACCTTCAAAACTAACCTTTGTGCCATTGTATTGTTGTCAGTTCACTCAAAACCTCTCCTGGAATGTTCCATTACATGTCTGAAAACTAGGTTAATTACAACATAAAATAATACCAGTGGCAATATAAAAACAAAAGAAACGAATAAAAAGTTTGATTGGGTGTGTTGACCATGTGGATTCCTTCAAGCAGCTAATGAGATAGTAGGCCTAAAAAGATTTAGACCACACAGTTAATAAATTGTCTTTAAACATGCCAGTTGAAATAGTCCTAGTGGTGGCGTCTAGAGAACTATCTGTCCTTTTCCATCAGTTGACTGGCAGTCTTAAAGGCGCAGGTGCATCATGGGTATTGAAAAGAAATTATTGGATGGACATTTGTCCCTACGTAATGCACCAACTGTCACAAACCCGGTCGATACAGGGTCTTTTCATTTCATCATCTTTGGTACAACCATATGTTACAGGCATAACACACAAGCAAACACATGTACACACAAATACAGTACACAGAGCTCGTGGCCTGGGCATTTGCAGCCACAATTCTGTGTTCGTAAGCAAGAATATGTGTGTGAGTGTGTTGGACGGAGAACGTGAGCGTGATACCAGCCCCTCTGGGATCTACATGAATCATGTGTAGCCTATTATATAAGACCGAGCAAGAGAGACGATACACTTGGGATCAACAGTGCCCTCCCCTTGCCCATCCATCCACCCATTCTGCTCTGTCTCTTCCTTTTGTTGCTGTTTTCTCACACATTAATTTATTTAAGAAAGGAAATAAATAAATGCTTTAAAAACATCCCAGAGCCTTAAACCACCCCTCACACACATTTACTTATTCACACACACACACACACACACACACACACACACACACCGCCTCCTCTCTGTGGCAAGGACATCTGGCATATTTCACAAGCTGGCTATGTGAGGAAAGTGTGCGCATGTTTGTATGTGTGTGTGTGTGTGTGTGTGTGTGAGAGTGTGTGTGTGTAGGTAGTGTGTGTTTGTTTGGGGGGAGGGGACTAGAACATTGGAAGGCTAAAGTGAAAGGAAAGCTGGCACACGTGAAGGGGTTCAGCGAGGACATGCCATCAACATTGTGTTCCTCTTGAAGAAAACCCACGACACAAGCTCTGTAGGTCCTGTGGTGCTTGATAAATAACCGTATTACCCATGTTTACTTTAACTTCCAAGTGTGAACCAAATATCCCTCCCAACAGAGAACAACCCATTCAATTTGAAAACCTGACACTTCACATTCAGAGATAATAATCAAAGATCTCAGGCCGAAATACAAAACCTGCTTTGAAGGTTATGGTGGGGCAATAACCAAAGCTGGCTAGACGTGCTAAAAGCTCTCAGAGGACGCTAAATGTCATGGCTGATTAAAACCTTATGACAGCAATGTGACCGCAGACAACATCATCTCTCTGTTTTATTCAATAGCGGAGGAAGACTGTTGTGACTCATTAGGGCAGTGAATGGATTCAGAGAGTGTGTGGGATTGGGCTCTCAGCTGCCATTCGGAGGCAAAGCAACCTGACCGAGCCAAGGGTAAAGGAAGCCAATTTAAACTAACTGACCTGCGAGACGAAGGGAAAATAACCTCAATCAATTCACAAGAAGCGGGAGCTAAGATGGCGGTTTAGTCGATGTATATCATGTGGGAGTGAAGACAAAAAGAAATGCGTGTGGGTTTGTGTGTGTGTGTCTGCATCTTACCTGATGCGTGACCATGAGGGAGCAGGGTGAAGAGGAGGAGAAGCGCGGAGGCAGCCAGCCTGTGGGCTAGAGAGGAGGAGGTGAAGGAAGAGGAGGTGGAGGAGGAAGAAGAAGAAGAAGAAGAGGAGGAGGACAGGGCTCTCGTCTGAAACGCTACCATTCCATCGCACATCTTTTCCTCCGGCGACCAGTGAGAGTCCTCTACAGCTTAACCTGTCCAGGCCACATAGAGAGGAAGGGATAGAGAGGGAGGGGGGAGAGAGGGAGGATTACTATCAACATTCAGCAAGGATTATGTAACCAAAAGCAACACAGACAGACAGGAGGGAATAGGGTGTGAGGCAGAGAAAAGGCCACAACTGCGCATCATCAAGTAACAGTAAGTTCACTAATAAAAGTAGCAACATGACTGACTATGTGTATTTCCTCTTCTTGTGCTTTATTTCCTTAAACAGCATCTTGCTATGTAAACCGCCCACCAGACAGACAGCAACTCTCCTTTTAAAAAAACCACCAGTGGCAGGAGCAGCAGCAAGAGAGTGCCTCTGATCTCCCCTCGATCCCCTCATTTGGCTCTGCCACAAGATCTAGCTAAATAAACCCGCCATTACACTCTGCTGTAGATGATGTAACAGGGAAACAGATCCCCGCCGCTGACAAGGTAGCAGCATTAGGATGATAGAGGCTGAAAATGTGTGAGAGCGAGACAAAACAGCTGCAAAAATCCTGATAGTCAGGAGATGAGCATGCCCAGAGAGCAGCATTTTACTCTAGCTTCATCATAAAATAAGTAAAAATTAAAATGTTTCTGGCTCCTTGGTGTGTGGACAGCAGCCAAATCAATGTGTATTAATTCAGTATTAGTTTGTTTGTGCATTTATAAACGTACATGAACAAAGACTGTCGAGGCAGGGATTCCTCAAATGTAGTTATTAAAGAGTTATGATAAAAAGGGTACAGTACGTCACAAATGAATGATAAACAGATGCCATATCACTGTCTGCTCAGCTGTGATGCTATTCTGCCATATGCTGTAGATTGTTGTAAGTTTGATGAATAAATTATGTAAAAACAACAACATCAGGTGCTACTATCTGAAATATTTTCTGTATTCTTTATCTGCTCATATCAACATACTGAACAAGCTGAAGACGGATGTAAATATCTTTTGCTCAACTTATTACTAATTGCAAAACTTCGTATCTACCTTAAGTTATATCTGTTGTAAGTGTCTGAAGAACATCTTAAATGTAAAACCTAATGCTGTGCTCTAGGACGACAGCAGAGAAAAGCAGTGAAGAGATGGAGAGTTATAGTGAGACACCTTTAAAAAGGCATCACTGGGAGGAAAAACACACATACAATAACAACCCAATCTTCTCTCCATGATTCTAACTTAACTTCCTAAAAGCATTTGTTGGTTGATTAGGGGGATACAACAGAATGTACACTATCATTACATAAATGAGATGCAGGTGCACATATGTTGCTACAGAGAGATTGGGATGAAGTAGCAGTAGTTGTGCTTTGTAGGGAACTAGCTTGCTGGCAGGCAGCATATCCTCAAGAGAGGGCAGAGGGCCCATTACAGTTCCACAAGGCTGCTGAGCTAATGGCTACAGTAATGGCACTGCTGCACTTAGGGGGCGGCGAATTTGATTGCAGATATACTGCGTGGCCACTGGCACTGCCACAGATGACCCGGAACTACTGTGATGGGGGAAGTAACTTTAAACACACATACACAGTTAGGTCAGAGTGTGCATACTCCATAGAGCTGAAACTATTAGTCCATTAATTAATCAACTAGTTGACAGACAGACAAAATAAATGAAAAAAACGACAAAAAAAAACAAAAGAAAAAACAAAAGATTAATAGAGAAAACAACCTACAGATTTACTGACAATGAAAATAATCATTAGTTGCTCCCCCAAAACTCAGAGTTGGGAGGTAATGGAGGTCAAACGCAGTGGCCCTGTTCTGGACATTTCCATACATAGGCTCTCAAAATGCTGTAAATCAACTTCAGCATATTTTGCCTGTCTGTGCTTCCACATTTTAGCGTCCGGCACTAAGCTACATTTTAAATAACTTAACAGCCTGCCACCTTTCTGATGTCCACAAGAGCAGGAGGGAGACGCATACCTGCATGCGGTGCAGGCCAGCTGGAGAGTGACGTAAGTCGGTTTTGGCAGAACAGTTTGGATACTGCATTAAGCCAAAGGGCAGACAAAAACACATGCAGGGGACCTGAGCCAGGCATTTGATCCATAGACGCTATTTCATTTGTACATGTTGGGATCAGAGCAGTGCTCACAGAGCGATCCTATGTTAACTCAGATGATGATAAAGTATTTCTGATTATGTGATCTGATTAACACGTGTTTTGTTCAAAGGCTCTTGTTTGGATGTAAATAACCACCTGGGATGGCATTTATAATGCAGGCCTGACCTCCTGAGAGAGCTGAGGGCAGAGTATTGACCAACCCGTATATTTGCAAAGTGAAAACTTAAGCAGAATTAGCTTAATTGCTTTCAAACAAGAGCATCTGAGAAAGGAGAAAGTCATTAACTCTGTGCTTAGGTATCCCACAAAATACAGCATTCCAATTAGCTAGAACAAGATAGCTCGGAGCCTTAAAGGAATTATTTGCAGATCTTTCAATGCTCTGACTTTATATTCATGCATTTAATCGATTAATAATGCAGCAGGCATCATGACAGCGAAAGCACAGAAATACTTCAAGTTTGGGTGTCAACTTTCCAAATTTGCCACTGTGCATGTTTCCTGTCAGACGCTGCCAAAGATGTTGAGCTCGACACGTCACATTAAAGGATGTGCTGCTATTTTGAACTTCAAGAGATTTAGTTTCTGTTTCCTGGAACAACATTTTGTATCAAGCCACATAAACAAACAAACACTTCTTTCCGGCAGCTGCATGTAGCCGCCAGGTGACATTTTTAGGGCCTGTAATGATATTGGCGTAGGTACAGTCAAACAGTGCGTGTTTAAATAGCTATCAGTGTCATTACAAAGTCCTTTCAAATGGCTGACATTCAAGCCATTATTGCAGAATGACTACTTCCAATTATAATTAGTGTCACAGGATATATCACTACCAAAAGAATGGCTACTAAAAGGAATATAAAAAACAACCAGAAAGCAAATGCTTTCCACACTGACTTACTAAACTTTTTTAAAGATGTAATGACATGAAACTCGTAAACTACCTTGCTTCCTGCAAGGGAACAAGAGAACTTCCTTATTTCATACTAAATCAAGCTACATGTGGCTGAGGCTACTTTTAATTAAGAAGAATGGTAGATTCAGAAAAGGAACATGTAAATATTTTAGGATGATTTAATGTCAACGTTGTGTAACCACGGTGCTTAATTAATCACTATAATCAATGTGATCATTTGGTTCCAACCCAACAAGGGCAAGAACCCAACAAGGGCAAGAAGAGACAAGACTAGCCATGCAACAAAAAACGGTGTTACCAGCTCTAGTTTACCACAGGTTTGGATGGAGTAGACTATATTGTACAAAATCAAATCTGCAGCAGCCTGTCAAATAAACAGAACAGTGAAAATTGGCACTCTTAAGAAAGAAATACTTTCACAATCAGAACAAAGCTGCTCTGAAGTTGTGGACTTTAAAAAGCTGTTTTGAAATCAACAGCTATGTTTTATTGTTGGTCAGACAAACAAGCAAACTGAAGTTATCTACTCCAGAAAAATAATTAATAATGAAAATAATCTCTAGTTGCAGCCCTGAATGACACTGCAAAAAAATGCAATGCTATTTGTCATTTGTGTTCAGCCCATTGCATTAAGAGTTTTTTACAGCATAAATACTTTGTCTGTTAAGTCCTTCACTTGAGGAAAAAAAATCATGCAACTCTCCACTTCAGACACCAGTGAGACAACCAGCCAGCCAGCAGGCTGCAACTGCAGTTTTTCAGCTGCCCGGGGCTCCTGGAATGCAAAGAGAGCCAAGGAGAGCAGCAGTACAGGCATGTGTCCGGGAACAGAGAGCACTCAGTGTGCCAAGGAAACAGCCGGGAGGAGATTTCCACCCGATAGACCCATTGCTACTGCGACTGGTAGATCCCGCCTGGGCCTGTGGAGGGAGCCCAGAGATGGGGCTCTGCATGGCAGCACAGAAAGGGCCCTTTGTCATGAAGTATTATGTAGTGTTAAGCCCCACAGTACCCGAGCATCCCTCTGTACCGCCGCAAGGGAGGGCACGGAAACACACAGTAAGATGGAGAGGAGAAAAAAAAAAGGAGACAGAATTAAGATAAAACAGTGGGAAGAGAAACACACACAAAATTAGAGAAACACTTTGTTGACAGTGTTAAAGGTAGGGAAATGTGAGAATGGGATTGAAGCCAAGTGTTCTTATCTTTATTCACAAGATATTTTCTTTAAGCTATGTTGTCAAACAGAAAAGGCCTCTGAATGTTGGACCGGGAGTTTAAATAGAGAACCATTAAAGCTACACATTATATATCTGCTAGTTCCTCTGTGAAAGCTACAGCGTGTGCAACGTGTAAAAACAAAACAAGTCAGTCCCAACAATGAGAGTGAAATGAGTGATTGTGACACTCACAAAATTTACTCAGTTCTGCAATGAAAAACATGTTATAAATTCAATGAAGTCATCAAAAAGTAGAATTCATACGTTCCAACACAATACGCCGCCTCTAAATAAAAACACAAAGACTGGGTATTCTTGAATACAGTATCAACACCTCAAAAGGCGTGATAAATAAAATAGCAGGAAATAACAGAAGCATGCACTTTCACACACTGCAGTTATTAATGTTTCCACATAAAATAACAGTTTCCACCAAAACTCTTATTTGGCTGTATTTCTAGGGACAAAGTGGGGCATTGACTAAGTACAAACCACATACTGTTTGGTCGGTGAACACTCTCCTGCTCAACGAAGTAGCCCGCAGTCAGGACAGCGTTCACAAGTTTTATACTTGTGGGGGCAGAATGAATTTATGTTGTAATATGAATTTATGTATGTAATAGAAAATGCCTCTTGGGGTGGTCAATATGGATAAACCCTACATCATGGTAAATGTACTTTTGTACAATATTGATATATCATATATCATTCATATAATACTGTCAATGGTATTGAGAACTTTTATTAATTAATAGATAAAATACCCAGACAGGATTGTTTTGGCTAAACCCTGACATATCAAGGTAGTTCATCACATTAATGCTATAACTATAATCCTAAAATAACTAAAATCCAACATTACTATTTAGTAGGGATAGCAACCACAGCATAAACAGAGTGGCATATAAACATTTTTGTTGTCTCACAGAATGCCTTATCACATCTTCCTCACTAAACTTCCTCAGTCTCTTAAAATATGTTTGATCTTTGTTCTCCATTATTATGATAAACAGCTCACATTTGGACTTCCCTGCCCTTTTGCTGTGGTTAAGTGTCTATCATATCTTACCCTTCCCAGCAAACAGGAAACGCCTCTAACTTTTCAGAATCAGAGTCAGAAGGAGCTTTATTTCCAAGTAGTGTTTTACACATGATACACGTGATAAGGTGCTACACGTAGACAAACATACAGTTGACATAAATAAATGTAGAAATATATAAATATGGAATGGAAGAACAACGTTGCAGATATATACATGTGCATTATTCTAGGTCTGTGCCATGCAGAAGTAACGTAACGGGAAGAGAATATTGTGTACATATAAATATATAAACTGAGAACATAAATGAGGGAGTGGGAAATGACTGCGTTTGGAATATCTGAGCAGAGCAGAGACCTTCAAAACTCAACAACACACCCCTGCAACTGTATCAAAGTGGTCAACTGCCTTTATAGCAGCTCTGAAGCAGAGTCACACGCTTCGACACGTGCAACTGTACTGCTCGCTATTTAAACAAAGAGTGTGGTGGGCTGCCAGGACTACACACACACACACACACACACACACACACACACACACACACAGTAGGACAAAAACAAAGCAACCCAATTCTAACACGCAACACATGCAATTATTTAATCACTGTTTCAGTTACTTTCATGTTCGCACATCAGAAATAATCAGGATATTGAGCGACGTCTATAACTGACACAGCGGACTCCTTGCTACGTTGCAAACTGTCTATTATTGTTCACATGACCAACGTGTAACAATACAGTAACGCTACAGCTGTTAACTAAGCAGCTACTCGAGCCGGTGTTGTTTTATTTAATCTCTAAGCACTTTCTCAAGCAAGCGTATGCTAGCTGAAAAAAACTTATGGCCGGCTGAATGCGTTAGACCTGTCAGAAATAAAATACGGCAGTTAGTTCTCCGAACGTTAACGGATATTAAGGGCTAGTTCGTTAGTTGACAAAACACGAAACTGACATCTCGTTATTCTCCTTTAGCCTTCGTTAAACGTCACCCTAGCGTGCGCAACTTGTTTAAAATTGTGTAATCAGCAAATACACACTGGCGGAAATAGACACAGCAAAAAGATATCGTAGTGGCCTATCTAACGTTTGTGTTTAACGTTAGCTTTCGGGGAAAAAAACAGACAACACTCACCAACGTAAAGGTTATCAGCAGCGAGCCCTCCTCTCAGTACTTCACACTCGAGGCATTAACGCTCGTATACATGGAGACACCCAAACCAGAATGTAGCAAATAATACAAAAAATATAAAGCTTTCGTCGTGTAGTTCCGTCTGTAGGGCTAACTGTTGTGTTGTTCCTCCTCCTCGGCTCGCCTGCTCTTTATTCTAGGTGTGCGGAAACACTCGCTGAGAACCAGTTGCCTCGCTCTCGCGCGGTCTCCATGGCTACCTCGTTAAAAGGGCGGATCAAGCCAACCACAAGGCTCGCCTTCAAATTAAAAGCACATGATTTAATGCGGAGGGGGAGACAAAAGAATCGACAAAAAGATCAAATTCATCAACATAATTCAGAACAATAAAACTGCACATGTCTTAACTAGATACTGAACATGCATGCATTATGGTGTATGTGTCATTATGGAGAATTACCATATAGACATGTACAGTTAGGCTACTACTTTATATTGCTTTTTGTCATTACACCTCTGTTAATAACACTACTGCTCTTTATTGCCATTTATCATTACACATCTGTTGTTAATACTATATAATACTGCTCTTTATTGCTATTTATCATTATACCTCTGTTAGTAATATATAATACTGCTCTATATAGCTATTTATTTTTACTGTATAATACTGCCCTGTATTGCTATTTGTCATTACACCTCTGTTAATACTATATAATATTGCTCTGTATAGCTATTTCTCATTACTGTATAATACTGCTCTGTATTGCTATTTGTCATTACACTTCTGTTAATACTATATAATATTGCTCTGTATAGCTATTTCTCATTACTGTATAATACTGCTCTGTATTGGGGGGGGGACTGTCCTTGAAAACACCAGGGACAAAGATGGAAATTAATTCAGGTCTTTATTGTTCTACGTAATACTGTATTGTGATGTATTATAATGTATTATAATGTTGTCAATAAGCCACATGAAGCCAAATTAAATACATATCTTCCAGCACCTACAGCTATACCACCCCAAAGATGTTTAGGGTGATTGCAAAACCTTTTTCATCTCTGGCAGTTCACACAAAGTCTTTGTTGTTAGTTATTAGATCTTCTGATATGGTTTTTCTTTGTAGCTGTTGCTGGTGGAGGGAGTACACCACCACAGCGTGCATATACATTAGATCTACACTTAGATGAGTAGTTATTAAACCCAAAAAGTGATTTACATCGAAATGTAAATGTAAATAGTACTGCACTCTATTTACACAATGCTTGCAGATAGAAGAGAATGAGTGGGTGGACATTTTACATTCATTCACTCATGGGTAAAGAAAGTGAGATCTCTCATCATCATACATAACTGTACTTCATTCTGCACAGTAACCTTGCAAAACATAATACCTCACATGAAGGAACCTCAAAGGGGGCAGTCACTTACTTTTGAAATCCCTATCTTAGTCCTATACCCTAAGATAGTTCATAAAGTATTTGCAAACATACATTTAGTAGTTGTCCTAGAATTTGAATGGGTTATTGATTTTCTGGACCCACGAACTATATAGGGTAGCTATGGCAACCAAATAATGTTTATTATAGTGAAATGTTGAGTAGGATGACATAACCTGGGTTTGGCTTTGAAGTGAGCATAATGTCATCCATATCATAAAATAATCTCTCCTTTATCGTCTTTTTCACTTTACATAGAATGATAAATAGGCCAAGACAAAGTGTCTAGTGCACTGTATGGAGCTCATCATGCCTTTAACAAACTATATTCATATTATACTTCAGCAAAAAGAGACACTCTTTTATTTGTAATACTTTATTGACAAGAATTAATGGGTCATATTTATGTGAAGTCATTCTTGATATTTGTATAGTATTTGTTTCTGGTTTATTTATGTTTTCATTCTACTTTTTAATATTCATTTTATTGTCCTTCAAATGTTGGTCTAAATAATCTGTCTCCGTAATTGTTATGATGTCATTTGCAGTTAGCAAATGGAGCAAAGGTCCATTCCAGTTATATGAATCATTTCTCGCAACGGTTGTTAGTAGGAAGGAAATTCATACGCCAGCGATGACTGGAGAGGTTCTCCTCTAAATGCACGCTAGGATTGAAACATACCACAATGCCTCAATGTCCAAAAACAGATTAATATTAGATTAAACCACAACATTTCATTTAATTAGCCCAGATAGTCAGAAGTTTAAGTGTTTGTTGCTTCCCCTGTGTATGAAGTCTTCTGAAGTCTTTGCACTGCTCAACTAATGATTGATGGAAACACCATATGTCATTGAGTCCTGTAAAGAACCTCTGACAGGACACCCACAGGTCTACCCTGGAAATAAACAAGAGACAACTGAGCCCATTGTCCTACCATTTTTTTCTCATGAATATGAAAATATATGCAGCAAGGTGGTCCAACATCTAATCAGATAATCCATAAGGGAAACATGGGGTGTAAATGAGTTTCCTATCATGTACTGTTCTCGTCTAACTGTGTTCACCACAATAAAACTAGGGCATACTGCATACATGCATGTACTTTGTTAGGAGATTAAGATTAGTCTAAATGTTACTCCTGTAAAGGAAGGACGTCTTAACTTTTCACACTTTCCCGTGTTCTGTGTCAGTAGTGACATCTAGTGGCTGCTTTACTTTCCTACATACACGTAGCCTATAGGTCCTTGAGTCGATTATTTGTAGGTAAATAATTATTAATAAAATAAATACAATATTTAATTTATATTATCTCTTATTTGAAAGTAGGTGGCCTACTCTCGCTGGATACATTCCACAGCGGGAAAGACCTCCTGCTTTCTTTGTCAAATTGTCATACTTTTCTCCTTGGATTTTAATTTTAATAGCCTTTATTTGAAATACTTATTTTAACATACGTTGAGTACACAAAGCGGCACACTGACAAAACACACAAACAGAAGAGTGATTTCATTTTAAACCACTGGCTTCCTGCTTTGCGGAGGAAGTGGTTGCATCCACCTTGGTTGACGCTGCTTCCTCGTTTTGGGACCACCGACGGTGTAACAGGCTATCAACAGAAGCAGTCCGCGGGGTCTGCAGCTGTCCGTGTCCGCTCCAGAGTATATTCGAGGCTTAAGGTTGGAGGTAGGCCTACTGTCCAATGTAAATATAAATACTTCGTAGAATGGTCTTCAGTCAAGTTCTGGCTGGTTAAAGACAATAAGCGTCTACACTGTGACCGACATTAATCTACGGACAATCAGTTTGTCCAAAACAAAAGCAAAAACGACAACTCAAGCTCTCAAAGTTACTTTCTTGCTATCTACAGGATGAGAACATTCCCAGTGCGAAGTTAGCGTTCATGTTTTGTTTGCTAACGTTAACTACTACTACTACTACTACTGCTGTGCGGAGTAAAGGCAAAGGACATTCAGGTCATTGCAGTTCCCATCGTGACGACCTGAAATGGCTTACTCACAGATCCGCCTGAAGATTCTCCCCAGCGTTCGCTGTCTGTTTGATAAACCAGTGCAGGTAAAATTAGAGGGACTTATTCCTCACAAACCAGTTGAACTGAGGTCCAAACTAGTTGATGACAGAGGGGTGATTTTCAAGGCTTCTGCTCTGTACAAAGCGGATGAAACTGGCCAGGTGGATGTCTGCCGTGCACCCTCGCTGGGAGGAAGTTACACCGGAGTGGAGCCCATGGGTTTGTTTTGGGCCATGGCACCTGAGACTCCACACAGTAAATTCCTAAAGAAGAATGTGCTCAGCCCAACGCTGGTGGAGATAGAAGCACTGAGTGGAGACACTGGTCATCTCTTAGCCTCTGAAACCAACGAGAGAATATACATGAAAGAGGGGATGAATAGAATACTTTTGCAAGAGGGAAGAATAAAAGGAGTCCTCTTCATACCACCAGGTTAGTTGTGCACTGTGAGTCAGTTGATGAGAGATTTGGAGAGTCTGTGTTCTACTTAACGTCCCCTCTCCCTTTATATTTTCTTATTTTCTACAGGAAATGGGCCATTCCCAGGAATAGTGGATATGTACACACTTGGTGGAGGTCTCACTGAGCCCAGAGCCAGCCTCCTAGCAAATAAAGGTTATGTTGTTTTGGCACTGGCTTATCATGGTTTCCAGGATTTACCAAAAAACCCTACAAAGTGGGATTTGGAGTACTTTGAAGAGGCAGTAACATACCTAAGGGGACGGCCAGAGGTTAGTATTAAAGAATAAATCAGTAAAGATAAGCATAGGCCTACTATAATATTAGAACCTCAATTTTATTTATTAATAGTGTTGTCATCTGCTGGCATTTTCTTCCTCAAATTAACTAGATTTAAGATAACTTTAGAGCTGAAACAATTATTTGATTAAGCCATCCCAGCTTCTTACGAAGCTCTTCCTCTTCTGCTGTTTTGTTCACTTCGTGTGATAATATACTGTTTTTAGATTTTGGACCGTTTGTCAGGCAAAGGAAGACATTTTAACTCATCTTGGGTGGGATGGAATTTTTTAAGTGAAGCCATTAATTGAGAAAGTGACTGGCAGATTAATAGGTGATGAAAATAATAGTTAATTGTAACCCCAGTTTGTGTAACGGTGAATGGCTGTTACTTATGTTCAGCTGTACATATAAGCAGGGATACCTGTTATAGATGAAAGATATTCTAAACATGATTATTAACATAACACCTCTCTGTGCAGGTTAAAGGTCCAGGGATTGGCATCCTATCAATCTCTCAGAGTGGTGGTTTGGCTTTGGCAATGTCGTCTTTCCTCTCTGGCATCTCAGCGACGGTCTGTGTTAATGCCTGCATTGCAAATATTTTGATTCCTTTACACTACAAGGACATTGTTATACCTCCGCTTTCTCCTGTCATGGAGAATATTAAAATCACAGAATCTGGGCTTCTAGATATACGCAACGCCTTACCAGACACTTCCTTGGAAAAGAACAGGGTGTCGTTGTTTCCAATTGAACGTGCCAGCTGCCAGTTCCTGTTTGCTGTTTCTGAAGATGACCACAACTGGAAGAGTGCTTTATTTGCCAAGCAGGCTGCTGCGACACTGAGGAATCATGGCAAAGAGTGTATTAAGGTGGCAACATACCCTAAAGCTGGACACTTTTTGGAAGTCCCTTACATGCCTTTTTGTCCGTCTGGGTTTCATGCAGCAGTGGGGAATGTTGTGATGTTTGGTGGGGAGGCAAAAGCCAACTCCGAGGCTCAGCTGGACTTGTGGGAAAGAG